AACTTTATTGACTTGGATGAAATTTGTTCACGGGAAAGTGTTTTCAAAGACCTAACGTTGAGAAAAATGGAAAACTCATACATAACCATGCTATTTTATGACGATTCTGTATTTTTTTTTTCTATGTACCTTTTAAAACAAGGACTGAATGAGAAGTCAAACCCCTTATGAATAAGCACACAATGCCACCTGATGGTGTGCATCAGCAAGTGGAGCCAGTGAATCATCCAGGGCTGATCTCAGAAGCTAAACAGGTTCATCTCTGGTCAGACGAGATGAGAAATGTCCTGGGAATTCTAATAATGTTGGCTGGACTCAGAAAAACCAAGAACATAATCCTCAAACAAGGTAATGACAAGCCACGTGCCTAATACTGTCAAGAAAACTGTAGGGGTATAATTTACCTGGAGTCCTTTTTAACAAAGTCTTTGACCTTTAGAGCAGTAGCCCTGATGTTTTCCTAGACACAACATGTTGTGCTGTCCCTAAATTAAATTGGAACTTGTTAAAAAAACAAGTTGAATAGCAAATTCCTACGTACGGTGTATCTTTTCATGAAGTGAATTTACTTTCAAGTTACAGGGTGAGGAACTCCCAATTTCAACCGGGGCTACAGGTTTATGGGTCCTTTGAAAGGGCAGCTGAATTCAGAAACTTTTGATGGATGCAGCTAAAAATAATTCAGTTTAGAGGTGTGATTGCGCCAAAGCATAGATAAAATTCTGCTCTAAATCAGCAGAAAATGAACTAGCCAAAGGTTGAATGAGGAAACTGCATCTTAAATCAGAATTATAGAATTCATTGAGAAGAATCAGGATATTCAGTAGTTACTAAAACATCAAGAATTAAGCCTTGGGGGGGGGGGGGGGGAGAAATAGGTAGACTTTTCCACTGCTGTTGTATTTATAGCACACGGCCTAGTTTCTTTTCAAGTCATCCTGTAATATGTTCTCAGGACAGTTCAATATTTTTATGTGATACATACAGCTTGTAACTGGAAGGCATGTACTAGTAAGAGTAACAATAAACATCCATGGCATTTTAAGATCAAAGGAGCTGGTCAAAAACAGACACCACAGGGATTCCAGGAATGCTATTTTTGTGGGGTGTAATAACATATTTTAAAAGCCTGTCCAAGTTTCGCTTTATACCTTGTTATACGAGAGTACACAAAACCAAGGAGGGGTTATGATGAATTCTTTCTCATACTTCCTTCAATCTCTGGATTGTACAATCTCTTTCATAAATCCTTCTTCAATGGTTCATCCCTGACTTGCCCAGGATCTGCTCTGCATTACTTTACAATATGCATTAAGATATATTTAAGATGTATATTAATTCCAAAGAACCATGTCAGTCTTTGCAAGTGACTTGAAAAGAGACAACTGGAGTAAATAAAGAAGTCACCTGCAATAGTTCTTATTTGATCACCAACTGGTGCAGTGTGTGGTGGTGTAGACAATTTGGGGGTGGGGGAGCTAGAATGGCTCCAGTGACACCATTGGTCACAAGCTGCATTGGTTACCCATCTGCTTCCACATGCAATTCCAGGTGTTGGCCAATTCAACCTGTAAAGCCATTCATGGCATGGGCCTCCGTTATTTGAGGGACTGTCCAGAGGTGGTATTCAGCACATTCTGACCAGTTCTGGAGAACCAGTAGCAGAAATTTTGAGTAGTTCAGAGAACCGGTAAATACCACCTCTGACTGGTCCCACCTCCATCTATTCTCTGCCTCACGAGTTCCAACTGATCAGGATGAACTGGAGATTTTGTAGTATCCTTCCCCTGCCACACCCATCAAGCCACACCACACCCTCCACGCCACACCCACAGAACCGGTAGTAAAAAAAAAATGAATCCCACTACAGGGACTGTCTTATCCCACTCATGCTGGCAGAGGAGGCACAATTATTCCGGCTGGTGGGATCCAGGATGAGGGCCTTGTCTGCTGTTGCTCCTGCCCTCTGGAATATGTTGCCCACTGATGTGAAGTTGGCTCCAACCCTCCTATCTTTTCATCAAGGCCTTAAGACCTGACTCTGCAGTGGAGGTGGTTGATCAAGTAACAACAGGTCCCACCTCTCCCCATGCCTTCCCCCTGTGTCCTTAGGTTTTAATATTTGATTTTAATAATTATTGTTTTAATTGTACATGTATACATATATTTTTGTGATTGTAAGTTGCTCAGACGTACCATATTCTAAGATGGGCAGCCAATAAATTTTATAAATAAATTTTATAAATAAACATTAAAAAAGAGGGAATGCAGTAATTTTTGTCTTTGTTCCTTTAACACAACTGCTTGTTTAAGTGCTTTGTTACTAGTGGGGAATGAAAACTCTTTACATATATTCAATACTGAAAGCTTTTTCTCAACAAACAAAATTCTTGAAATCAAGCCAGAAGCACAGACATGAATCACCACAAGGTGGCACAATGAGAAAAAAAATCCTCCATGCTCCTCACAAAACACACCAGGAGCGTGCAACCTTGGCAACTTTAAGACTTGTGGACTTCAACTCCCAGAATTCCTCAGCCACCCCTGGAATAAACCAACTAAGGATGTTCACTTTTGTTCTTTACATGCTAACTCTGCTTTTAAAATACTAAATATTGAATCTCCTACAATTTTTTCTACCATCTTACTTTTTTTTCTCTAGCATATCAGTCCATACATCTAAAAAACTTTGGAGGAGCTACCCAGAGTATGAATATTGTGGGGATACAACCTTCCCCACAATTTCCATGTTGTGGAAATCCAGAGTTTTGCCATGATTATTATTCTGGTTAGACTATTTTCTACATCAAAGTAAAACAGAATGCCTGTGATAAAAGGCTTTGCATAGTGGTAACTCTCAGAAGTCAAATGCTATTCATCAATAACACAAAGGCCACAATTCCACTCATGAGATCTGCATAATTTATATTCAGCGCCCCTAATTTATTCATCCAGCAATACAGAATCGGGGTTTATATGGCAAAGACTGCAGATAAAAAGAAAAACAACAACAAAGGACTGAGCAATTGGAAACCACCCAATGGTACGTGGGTAACCTGAATATCCTAAGGTCTCATAATTTATGAAGGCTGGAAAGATGGACACGGTATCAGGATGCAATTGTGCAAAACCTTTTCAGAAGCATTCTGCAATCCACACTTCCAAGTGGATTGCAATTTTCATCATCCAGAACCAACAGAGGGTATGAACAAACATATCTGGAGAGCATTCGTATGGGCGAAGCACATACACTTTCTTTCTAACACCTATTCCATTCTATTCTATTGTCATCTATTCTAATCTATTCTAATCTATTTTATTCTATATTCTCTTCTCTCCTAACACTATTTATTTAAATTACCACCCCTAAATGAGAGGGTGATGTAGGTGCTGCATTAGAATCTAGGACTGTGATGGTGAACCAATGGCACACGTACCATCGCCCCAGCTCAGCTGCACTGCACATGCGGCACGCCTCCTGCCAGCCATGTGATTTTTTCAATCTCTGCCATGCATGCATGGGGCACATGTGGCAGAGGCATGCACATATGGGGGGGGGCTGCTAGGCCCAAAATAAGGCATGGGGGGGTCACGTACACATGCACAGGGAGGGCAGGGTGTATGGGGTGGGGTGGGGATCACATACGCATTGCATTATGGGTGTGGATTTGGATTTGATTCATTTTGTAGGCCGCCCTATTCCCCGAAGGGCGGCTGAACAAAGCCAAGGGAGGGGAAATTACAAAAG